CCAACTCGTAGAAGGCTCTCCCTGGGTCGTGGACCCTGCAGACTTCATACCTTGGGACTGGCCTTGGCTGGCTTCTCACAGCATGCTGTCCCGAGCTGTAGGCCCAGCTGTGGTGACTGTAAACAACACTCCACCCTCCTCCAGAGGCTTCTGTCTCCGGCACCAGCCCAGCAGACTTGGCTGGTGCCTACCAGGATCGTCTTATGTTGAGGCTCCAGGGAGAGTCAGTGGGAACTTGGCTGCCTTGTCTAGAAGTGGACACTAACTTTAACAACAGCTTAAACTTATACTGAAACACCAATCCACTCTGGCTCCTCATAGCAACCCTGGCAGGGTGGGGGTGGGGGCGCAGTCACTATCTTGGTTTATGGATGAGGAAATTAAGGCTTCTAGAAGCTTCCCTCCATGGGTTAGTCCTGGTTGACTAGAGAAACAAATCCAGAGACACTCATATGTATATAAGAAAGAGCTTTATATAAAGAGTAACTGTGTATTAAGAAAACATCGTAGCCCAGTCCAGATCAAGTCCATAAGTCTGATATTAGTCTATATGTCTGATACCAGTCTACAAATTCCTCTTCAGACTCACTCAGCACATGTAATGACATCGAATTCAGGAAGATCACAGGCTAGTAGGTGGAAAGTCTTGTGGATCCAGTGGTGGTGGAAGCATCTCAGCACTGGCGTGGGTCTCCACATGGCTCCTCCAGCTCCATGTGGCTTGTCAAGAGGATGTCTGGCAGGGAGAGTGTGGATCTGGACTCCAGTGACCCATTTATCTCCGTAGTACTTCCTAATGAGGTCATCAAGCTGCAACCTGATTGATAGGCTAAACTCCATCCCTTCACTCTCAGTAATATCAAATTGACACCAGATTATGTAAGTACCACACTCCCTCTCTCCCACTCTTAGGGCCCAAGAAAGTCCCCTAAGACGGGCAGGAAACCCTTACCTGCTTTACCTAGAGAAGGTCTGCAGGTAGCAAGGGTAGCCTCTTCTGCCCCTCCAGCTCATGTCTCATCTGGGGTCAGGAACAGTGGGGAATGAAGCTGGGTGTATCAGGATCCAAATCTAAATGAAGTAATGGTAACTGGCTCTTCCTGGACATGTCCAGCGCATGGGAAGTCTGAGCTGCAGTAGTCTTCGATGTCAATTACCAGCATGCCAATGCACAAAAGAACCCTGGCAGGTAGATCCTGTTAGCACCATTTTGCAGATGGGACAACTGAGGCGTAGAGAGGTTGGCTTCAGACTCTACAGCTCTCCCCCCACTCTATTCAGGCTTGTTCCCTCTTTGGTTGATCTGTAACCCACCCGCCCCCCACTCCCGCCCCAACCACCATTTACTTAGACCCTTTCCCACGCGAGGATGGGGGGCAAGGAGGACAGAGGAGGCACCTTCTGGCATGGAGAACTGGCATCTGAGGCAAGTACATATCAGAGGTGGGGGACTGGTGGCGAGGTTGGGCTGGTGCAGGGTGGCGATGGGGGTGAGGAGGGTTGGCCTAGTGCAGGAGCCATGGCCCAAGGTTCGGGAGGCCTTAGATCTTCACTCACTTCTGCCACCGATTGCTGTGTGACCCCGAGCAAGGCCCTGCCCTTCTCTGAACCTGAGTCTCAGCATGCTATCATGAGGAGTTCAGATGGATTCTCAAATTTCGAAGGGTGTGGCCATATTTAGGTTCCTGTAGGGGAGGTGGTCAACCAAAGGAAGCAGAGTGTGTTGGAACGTTCCATCCGGGAGGGGCAGCCTAGTTCTTAGGGACCTGCCTGAAAAACAAACAGAAAGCACACTGCCACTGGCATGATGCGATTCACAGTGACCCGATAGGACAGGGAAACACTGCTCCTGGGGGTTTCTGAGACTGTAACTGTTTACAGGAGAAGGGCCGCCTGTCTTTCTATCATAGAACCACTGGTGGTTCTGAACTGTGGACCTAGCAGTTCAAACCCAACACATAACCACTATACCACCAGGGCTCCCAAGGTCCCTCTTAATGGAATTGAGAGTGGGAGGGGTGAACAGTCACGAGGCCTACTCTACCTGCCTCATCAGAGGCCCCAAGGCAGTCTGGGAAACATCTGCAGTGGTGTCTGTATCCCAAGCCCAGTCCCTTTCTGTGATCCTGCCTGGGACTGCGATGTATTGATCTGCCCCCAATCATGGTTTTGTGACATGTCCCCGTAAAGTGGCCGCATTTCTGTGACTCCTCACACCGTGATTGCCTCGCACTGAGGGTCTCCCTCACCGGATGACAGGTCTGTGTCATGTTGCAGACTTAACAAGCGTGTCTCCATAATTACACCGGAATCGGGGGCCGCTTCTCGCCCCTAGAACAAGGGAAAGTCTGACCACAACCGTCCTGGGCCTCCTGGACTCTGGCTGCAGCTCTGGAAGACTTCCAGAGGAGGAGGAAGAAAAGGAGGAGGAGGAGGAGGAGGAGGCAGTGGCCTTGGGGCTGGGAGTGTCCTGGATCCTCAGTCCCCTCAGTCTCTAGCTCCCCTTGACCTGTCCTTTAAAAGCCCACAAGAAGGGCAGTTTTTCAACTTCCCCTGCCTCGCACTGCTGCCCACTGTTAAAAGCTCTAAGATGCACATGTCTGATCTCCCTGTGGGAGTGGCCGGAGCAGGCCCTGGGGGAGGTGGGGGAGGTGGGGGTGGGGGCTGCTCCAGGCTGAGCAGCAACATTGTCGTGGGTTTTAGAGCCCCAGACCAGGATCCCAGCAATACCAAATCCAAGCTGAGTGACCTTGGGTCAGTTGCTGGACCTCTCTGAAGTTCTGTTCCCTCCTCAGTAAAGGTTGGTTGTTGCCGTGAGAGGAGCACCCTCACACACTGGGCACTCGATGAATGGGACTCCTATAGTAATTCTTTCCCTGTGCCAGCCTGCAGCCAAGTCTTATTTAGTCTGGGAAAGGGTGGGGTCTCTGGGAGACCAGGCAGAGCAGATGTTTGACAGGGCCTGCCAGTCCCCACCTCTCCACCCTCCTCTTCCACGGGGTCACCTTGGCCCGAGGGGCGGCAGCAGGCTCCAGACTGGACAGGAAGTGCCAATCCCCAGAGGCCGCTGGGCCGTTTATGCAGCCCCTACTCCCCAGAACTGAGGTCTGGGGGAGGAGGCTGTTTAGTCCAAGGAGGTGGGAGGTATCCAGCCCACTAGCCCTTTTGAAAGCTGTCCCTTTCCCCCCCAGGCTGTCCCAGGCCTGGCTTTGGAGGGAGGGCAGGCCTTCGTTGATGTTAGGGCACCAAGGTGAGCTTGACCTTCGGGGAGTACAAGGGAGGCCTAATCTGGTCCCGCCCCCTCCCCCTGGCCGATGAGTGTTGGAGCTGCAAATAGCCCAGTGGAATCAGTGAGTCACAGAGGCCGGAAATACCGCGCCGATGCACTGCGCCGCCCCC